AAAAAAAAAAAAAAAAAGAAAAAAAAAAGAAAAATTAAATAATTTTAACACATTCGCTACCAGCGTCACATATGTGTGATAGAATTTCTTTTCCATGCCCACATTATCAAACCAAGGCTATTTTACACAATTACGTAAAAAAGAAAAAAAAAGATACAAGATGGGCTGCGGAGAAAATGTTCTGAATAAGCCGCGGCATCGAACGCGCTAGCGATTCCATAATGATGGATTTTTTTAGAAGACACTCTCGAATGTTACACTTTACCCTGGCTAGCAATTCGGCCGCCTATTTCTCACAGCGCACTCATTCGTCTTCCATTTGCAGGTAAAGGCAGTTTCGGCCAGGTAGTAAAAGCGTTCGACCACGAGGAGCAAACGCAAGTGGCAATAAAAATCATCAAGAACAAGAAGCCTTTTCTAAATCAAGCGCAAATCGAAGTTAGGCTATTGGAAATGATGAACAGAGCGGATACCGACAACAAGTATTATATAGGTATGTAGAAATAGAGGTGGAAGAGAGAGAGAGAGGAGAGAGAGAGAGAGAGAGAGAGAGAGAATATATGTCGCAATGTACGGAAGGATATCTCTCGCGAAGGATATCTCTGTGACGATCCCTTTTCCTCTGATTGCAGTTAAACTGAAGAGGCATTTTATGTGGCGGAATCACTTATGTCTGGTATTCGAGCTGCTATCGTATAATCTATATGACCTACTTAGAAATACGAATTTCCGAGGAGTGTCATTGAACTTGACGAGAAAGTTTGCACAGCAACTGTGTACTGCCCTCTTGTTCCTGTCTACGCCGGAATTGAACATCATTCACTGTGATCTGAAACCCGAAAACATCCTTTTGTGCAATCCCAAACGAAGTGCGATAAAGATAGTCGACTTCGGTAGTTCGTGTCAACTTGGACAAAGAGTAAGTATCTCGATAGATATCGGCCGGCTCGGCCGATATCTCCCCTCGTCCCCCGGCATCGCCGTTCACTCGCCGTTTCTTTTTCTTCTTGGCTACTTGCAGATATACCAGTACATTCAGTCCAGGTTCTACAGATCTCCGGAAGTCCTGTTAGGAATACCTTATGACCTCGCGATAGACATGTGGAGTCTGGGATGTATTTTAGTAGAAATGCACACGGGAGAACCTCTGTTTAGTGGGGCCAACGAGGTAAGGGGCCCGGCGATCGTATTGAATTCTTTTTCAATTGCGCACGAGTCCCCGCGTAGCTCTCGATAATCATTAATAGCACGAGACGCTACCGTTATGGCCGTGTGCTCAAGGCACACGCGCTCGCTCCCCGCGGCGAATGACTCGCTCGAAAGTGTACACGTGTGTACGCGCGCTGCGTGTATTCGAAGTGCGTGACGTAATCTCCCTCTATCTTGCCTTCCAGGTCGATCAAATGAACAAAATCGTAGAAGTACTAGGAATGCCGCCGAAACATATACTGGACCAAGCGCACAAGGCGCGGAAGTACTTTGACAAAGTCCCCACGGATGGCTCGTACGTGCTGAAAAAGTCCAAGGACGGTAAAAAATACAAACCTCCCGGCACGAGGCGCTTGCACGATATTCTAGGTGTCGAGACTGGCGGTCCCGGCGGTAGGAGGATAGGGGAGCCGGGTCACTCGATTTCCGATTATCTCAAGTTTAAGGACCTAATAGTACGGATGTTGGACTTCGACCCGAAGACGAGGGTGACGCCGTATTACGCGCTTCAGCACAACTTCTTTAAAAGGACAGCCGATGAGGGGACCAACACGAATATCGCTGCTGCTAACAGTGCGAGCACGAGTCCGGCAGTGGTGTCGATGAGCCAGGATCACGGTAAGATGTGTTAGCTGTTGCCCATCCGATCCCGGCGAGACATTATGTAAGATATAGAGGAGAGAGAAGTACGATAACGCATTTATGTGCTTCACATCTGGGTTTCTACGAAACTGGCAGGTTTTCAACAGTTTAAGCGAGCCGTCTCGTTTGTGATTCGCGGCACACGAATCGTATGAGTGTGCGCGCGACTGTCTCTTGATTCGAGTAATTTCCCTACCGGTGTTGAAAGTTGAAAACGTGTCAGGTTTATGCATTATGTCACGATAAATGTATTCTAAACGATCAATCGCAGCGGGAGACATGATCTTACAAAAGTATGGCTCTATGTCGCTTGATCTCATTCATCATTCATCATTAATATCACGTACTTGATTATTATATCATTACATCTGATGATTACATTTAATCTATATATATATATATACATATATAGTCTCTTGTGAGTTCATTTTTTCAGCTGAAATAGGTACCGTTGTAGAAAGAGAATTCACTACTTTCACGCCGTTCATTTATACATAGATAGTATTGTATAAATGTAATAACGAAGAGGCAGGTTTTTAATACTCTGCATTGTCACGTGTTCTGTTCAGGCCGCATTAGCTTAATCGCGTATTATCATCCGGAATATTGGTCATACGAAAATCGACTGTCCCATGCTCAAGCGAATTTAATGAAATTTTGACGGCTAATGATATATCTCTGAGCTGTTATGAGCATCTTTGAGAGTAATCGGATACAAGGTAGATATAGACGAGACAAACTCATAAGGCAGAGAGTTCTATTGTGTTGTGAGTTTAGGAAGGTTTTGATTTGTGCAGAAAATAAGAAATTATTCTCTCTTTCTCTCGAAGAAACGAAGGATTTTTCCGACCTCGTTGCGTCTCGTTTCTTTGTTTTTTTTTTCCTTCATTCTTTCCAAAAGCTAGATTACATAATTGAGTAATTACTCGGTATAGCATTAGTCGATCATACTTGCACTGCATTGTTAAACGTTAGTTCTGTTGCGATACGTACGCTTGATTCTGCGACCGATCATGATCCCTCTCTTTAACGGTATCTTTTTATTTTCTGCGCAAACTAAACGATACTTGTTGTTGTTGCCCGTAGATATGATGGGGGGACAATACGTGGCTCGATGACTGTCGTATCCGCGGGGCGGCGACGACCTGTCCTAGGCCCCAACCCTAATCTTACTTACTAACATAAGTAAGTTCTGTCTAACAAACAATCCTACACATGCTAAAAGACTAACGATGTCCCTGATAATCATATCCTGGCCTCGGATGTATTGCGCGAAGCCTTGCTTGCTTGAAGACAATATCCCTAATTTCTGTTTCCTTTGAGACACGGATTTTACAATTGCTATAGCCCGTGCCACCAAGGACTTGATTATAACACGATGTATCATTCCAACTTACATGATATGTGAGGCCAATAGTTCATTATTATATACATGAGGCTGTCCTTTCTCGATGACTCTATCTTAGATAACGTAAGGACAATGAAATAGCGTCATGTCACCGCTGGAATATGTTTCTAATTTTCTGCCGGGTCTCTGTGCTTTTTTGTCCGTGGTCGAAAGACGACCGGAGCGCTGAATGAAGCGCGCGAATGCGAAACGATTACTCGCGCGACATCGCAGAACATATTCCAACTGAAAGTATATACATGCATCTCTGTGTTAAGCGAATTTCTGTTTTGTAGAAAAGTCACTTCATCGTCTTCTCGTTTCTTTATCGTCTTTTTTTTTTATGCATGCTTTAGCTGCTTGCGTCGTACACTTTACAAGTGCCAGTGCTGTATAAATGGGACATGAAATCTTAACGTTCCTGTGAAATAAGTCTTGTCCATCAGTATATGTATTTACTATCATATATATATATATATATATCTCTTCTTGAGTTCTTGCCTCAACGTATTGCCCCAACTGCACACATTTTGACGTAGACATTAATTATTACGTATATCATTGAGAGAAAAGTTCGTCGATCACGATATGTAAAACGACAAAGACTACTGGAAGGATCGCAGTCCCACATCTTTTAAAATATGTCGCTTGTGATGTACACATATCACGACGTTGATTACTCAAGTAACTCTGGCAAAAGAAACTCACTGTACAATTTTGCAGCGAATAAAATACGTGGAATATCGTCGTCGCGGCACACTCGCGATCACACTGCTCTCGTGGTGTATTAAAATATATATCCGATTCATTCCTGCCGGTAGCAATAAACTCTTACGCGCGGGCTGAGGAAGAAACTAACAATTGCAATATCGAGTATCCACGTCCGAGGCACGTTCGATGTGTTTAAAGAGTGAAAATATCACACAGCCCTAGTCTCTCGTCGTCGTTTGAAAATGTGCGTGTAACGGAGGTGGTAGCGGTGGAGATATTATTGCCTGCAAATGCAATGCCCCTGTAGACGTTTGAAATTTTATTTGTTCTTTCATTCCCACATAGTGACATCCGATTTGTAATTCGAGCTAGCGGTTTTTTCGTGGATGGATTATGGCATTAGTGTGTTGAAATCCGCCGCGGGCATTCATCGAGCACGAACTGACACCATCCTCTCTTTTCCATGTCCTAGGACTGGTAACTATGTCGGGACAGGGCAGCGGCGGCAGCAGCAGCGGCGGCAGTAGTCTGCAGATGCAAGCGTCGAGTCTACCTGGTGGCTACCAGCCCATGGACTGCGAGTCCTCGCCCCGTCACTCGGGAAGTCGGCGTGCCATAACAACGGGCTACCCGTCGACGTCGTCAGCCACCGGGGGGGTGCCCGCATCGTCCGCCCCGATGTCCATGCAGTCCATGGACAGCTCCCTGATACAGAGCTCTCTCGGATCGTACAATAGCCTAATTCTTCCCGGTATACCCCATCTGCCTGCGATAATGACCTCGCCGATGATTCAGCAGCAGAACTTCTACAACTACGGCTACTCGACGACCGACACGCACGGGATGGTTAGACAGCCATCGACAGTGTCGACTAGTAACCAGCGAGATCCTGAGAGAGAGGATAGCCCGATGGTTGGAGTGTGTGTCCAACAGAGTCCGGTCGCTATCCACTGAGATGGGGAGGAGAGGGAGAGGAGGGAAGAGAGAAAGGGGTGAGAGAGAGAAAGGAGCAACCGACGGTGGGTGGACAATACAGCTCGTCGCGATCGCAGGACCGTGAAGAACAATCTTAGCCGATTGATTGATTGCGGATGGAGCTCGTGGCATGCTTCGAATGTTTATCGTGGCGTCGACCGACGAAAGGACGAGAGATGAGAAAGGACGGAGAAAGAGAGAGAGAGACGGTAGGCGAAACATCTCGGAGTCGTTCCCCCCGACGCTGCTTTCTCAGCACAGAGTCAAACGACACGCGGTATCGCGCGCGACACCGACGCGTCAACTTGTTGGATTCAACCAATCTTTCGGATACGTTGGTTTGGCCGAACAATTCTGAAAATACACCGAGAAAAATCTCCCAAGAAGAAAATCCCAAAATTCACCGCAAGCTACAGGAGAAGCCCCGGATCTCTGTCTCTCTGTGCCGAGAGACAACAGAAGCGAGGAAGTGCTCTAGAACAAAAGCTCGGCAGCGTTAAAACGACTACGTGCGCGAACGACAAGTCCAACGTGTGGAGAAGAACGCAAGAGGAGGAGGAACAGGATGTAAGGAGGAGAGCGAAAGTGCGAGAGGGAAATTTCCGTTTCCATTACGTTGCTGTATTTTTTCGTATTTTTTACTGAGCTGACTGGCCCTACACATTGGGCACGGATAAATGCGTGTATACACGAGGAAGATTAACGAAGAGCTTCGAGCACGGACAGACAGTAATGGTCTAGTGAGGATGAACCCAGCTGGCCTCTCGGGTCCTGCCCGATTCCACAGACTTACTCTGCAAAACTGCGGTTTTAGCGTTAAAATGCAGCTGAGCAGAAAACTTTCGGCAACCAAACTGTGTGGCCTAGAGAGCTAAAAAGTGATAATTACTATTATTACCGCATAAAAAAAATGGAGAAAAGTAAGAATTACCAATGTAAGCATGTACTCCAATAGAGTTTTATACACGATGTCACGAATGTAAACGGTTTAGCATGTACTTGCGAGCAAACCAGTCTCTCTCGCGTCGACTGTTAGTTATTTGTACAATACACTTAGGTGAACGATAAGAGTGCAGCTTTAGGGTTTAGCTTTTAAGTGTGAGAGGAGTTAAAAAAAAGAACACACACACACGGACATTGTAAACTCGACTCTTTTGTTTACTTTAATGGAAAACAAAGGATGTTGCAAACGTCAGTTTGTTGCTAAACAAGGACTTTAAACAAACGAGGTTTGCACGGCTTAACAACAATACATATTTATACATAAAGAAAAAAAAAAGCAGTAATAAGAAAGTTAAAAAAAAGCAGCATACACGTAAGATCGATCAAGAATGGTATAATCATACGAGAAACCTAGATACTTTATAATAAACAATACGCGCGTACTCGCATACAACACACGTTTCCAACGCCAATCGTCATTGATTTTTGCCGTTTGTGCTCCGATGGTTGCTGCGCTTATGCCATTCGCACCAACTCGTAACAATATATAGCTCCCCTTTCGTTTGTTATACAGAAGACTTACGCAAGCATGATTTTTATTCGGCCAAATGTTTTTTTTTAATCTCGGTTAAAATACGATTCCTTTTGATTATTTATGTCGACTGTACATCTATATACGTACATATATTGTGACTAGATGACGAATAAAGGTAGAAACTTTGATCTTTTTTTTTTTTCTTTTGCTTATTATCGACAGCCACACGAACGTTTTGTCATTAAGCTACCAATCGTAAGTGTAGTATAGTACCTGAAGGCAGACCATTAAAAAACGCAACCTTAATAAAACCCTACAGAATCCAGATGTTAAAAAGGAAAAAAAATAAAAGTTATGACTTTTAATAGAAACTAAATAATAATATACGCTGTAAAGAAAGAGAAATCTTAAAGATCTTAAAGAATTATGCATGTTGCTTTTCTGTAATCACGATATAGCAAAATGCGGAAATACCAAGTCCGTTTAACGAGGTATATTTTATATTTGCGGCTTTTATAATTCCATACAAAAAAAAAAAGAAAAAGAAAGGAAAGAACACTCCGCGGGGACCTAAGATATAGATGATAATTTATCTTTATGATGTTTACTGTATTCTCTATATGAAACAAATTTGATATTCTGTTGTCGGATCGTATCGTGATTTACTATGGCTATTTTAGAACGTTCTAGATTCATTTTGTCGCTTTTCAAGGTCTCCGATGACTTTTTACGGTAAATGAAGCTGCATGTATAATTCCAAATGTAATAGTCATCTTTAATATTTTAATTGCGATCTTCTTTATTTCTTTATTCTTTGTACGAAAATTTTAATGCGTAACTGCGACGGTAAAGCAACGTATTTCGTCTGCATGACTGCGACTGTTGTCAAAAGAGCTTGGCCAAAAAAGATATTAGACGACCAAAAGGATTCTTACGATGTATTTTCTGGAAAAGTAACGAGAGAAAGAAAGATAGAGAGAGAAAGAGAGAAAGAAAGCGTGCGAAAGGGAGAGAGAGAAAGAGAGAGAGAGAAAGAGGGGGAGAGAGAGCGAGAGCGAGAGACTCATTGTGGAATTTAGATTTCAATTCCTGTTGTATTAGTTGTAAATATATGAGAAAATATAACATACTTTCGAGTAGCTGAGAAAAGTCTAACGTGTTTCACAAGCCATTCGATCTGCTAAGAATCATTTTCTTCGTGCGGCCTTTCGAATGATTTGTATATTTTTATACACCTGAACAACATAGAGATGCATTTGCAGATACGTTTTAACGAAGAGGATACACACGAGACATTCTATATTGCAACTCAGAGATGTTGAAGTTTGTTATACTCGAATTTATTACTAAGTTACCGGGCGAAAACAAATTTTCTAACAGTAATCTAATAAAATGTAAGTCCCTGCGGGGCAAATAGGAAATACGAAGTCCACGATACCACTTGTACCATAAATGTTTTTATATCGCATTACGAGATTTACGGCAATCGGTGCTTAAGGTTAAATTCGAAGAGTCGTAATGAGTCTGTGTTGTGATTAGATAGCTCGAAAGCAATGCTTGAAAATAGATAGATTCACTGTGACATAAATGAAATATTACAGAAGAGAACAACCAGCTCTCCGGAAATCGCATCCAAAACGTAACGAGATATTACGTCGCACCTTACCTCAATGACTTTTTAATAATTTCGGCAGTTGAAGTTTGTACAGGATATGATTTGTTAGAAGAGTAGAAAGAGAGAGAGAGAGAGAATGAGAGAGAGAGAGAGAGAGGGAGAGCGATCGAGTGAGAAAGAAAAAGAGAGAGAAAGAGTGAAAGAAAAATTAAACGACGCGGACACGCAGGATTTTCTGTGATAAATCTTGATGTTTCCGCGTATCTTATTGAACGGCAAAAATCAGTACGCTCTATAAGTATAGACAATGTGTGATATCACACGGGCCCTCTTCCGAATTCACGATGTTAACGCGCTGTGCTCACTGATCCTGAGCTTGGTGTTCATGTAACATTTTCGCACGCAAAACCGTCACGTTCGAACTAATATACAGAACTATTTTTTATCATAAACAAAAACTCGAATCATCTTCGCTCGACATTTTCCACATGAGATAACGCGCGACAGGATATCACTTGTAGCCTTCTTCATCGTCCGTATTGCGAAGGTGATACGTACGTGTAAAACCCGGGCATCCTCTGTCCTTTCTCTCTCTCTCTCTTTCTCTCGGAGAGTCAGAGGAGGATAAGAATGAAAAAAAAGAAGAAAAAGGTATGCACAATTCGACCGAACGACGGACTCTTGGGCACAGCGCGTTGCGTTTGGCAATGCATTAAAGTATCGCTCCTCATTTTGACGATTGTTGATTTTAACCGAATGATTAAGTATTGTTTGATGGGAGAAAGAAAGAGAGAATATGTATGTGTGTGTGTATGTGTGAGTAAGAGTGAGAGGAGTGTGCAGAAGTGTGATAGATAATCGGTGACTCTTAGACGAATCTAATTCTTGATCACACCGGCTGACGAAGCAGCCGGCGGCGTCTAGGCGATGAAAGCAAGAAGAAATTTAGAGACGATTTTTTCGAGGCGCGAGGCAAGGATAATAGCGTTGTTAAACAGCATACCAACCGCGACACCAAGATCCACGCGAGCACGAACATGCGATGCGTGTCGGACACAGCTGTGCGAATTTCATTTGCGCGAGGACGCGGCGAAATGCGTTTCCAATGTAACGTTCAATAGCCTCCCATGAAAGAGAAGAAAGAGAAGAAAAAAAAAAACAAAATCCGATGCGCAGGTCGAACTTTTAGACTACTTTCTTCTTTTTTATTTTTCTTCTAGGATCCTTTTCGCTTTCCCCAACATACGCGCGTTCATTTCGCTCAAGAGTCTCACTACCACCACCACCACCACTATCATCACCATTATCACCATCACCACATCACACCATCACCTTCATATGACGAATGAATTTGTCCACTCAACAGCTGTCGTAAAATGCAAAGTATTTAAGCCAATTAGCAGACAACAGAGATGTATACATTTAATAGCATAAGAACCAGCCGTGATTCATGTTCCAAATGATTTGTCGTTGCATTTTCGAGTACGTATAGTTTCTTCTTTCTCCTTTCTCGTTCGCGAGAGAGTGAGAAACTCACTCAATTGCACGTTCAATTTGCACGATGAACTAAATTTGAGTCGTCTCTCGCTTTCCGACAATTCCGACGAATCGTTTCAACGCACTCCGTGATTTTCAATCACGCACACGCTCGTTAATTATCACAGCTCGACGCCTATTACAGCCATGACGAATCTTTCCTTCGTGTGTGTGTGTGTACGCGCGCGCGCGCGCTTGCATTTCCGACGGTGTATTTTAGCGTGAAATCTCACAGATGCGCGAAACGCGAGCGGCGGAGCCCTTCGCTCCGAAAGATCCGCTCGTGAGACGCGCGCCGACTTCATTCGCGGGATCTTTTTGGAACATGTCGCGGCGGACGTAAAGTAAACCTAAGTTTCCTAACGTCATGTGTAAAAGCATTGTGTTCAGAAACAAATATACTATAATACGACTGATGCGCCTGAGAGGCGACGTGCGAGCGTCCTTTGAGAATTAAGCATGATAGAGAGTTGACGATGTCTTGATGTCTCGTTCGGCGATGGCATGCACCAATCGGGACAAAAAAAAATATATGGAATGAATGCGGAGAGAGAAAGAGAGAAAGAGAGCGTGAGCGAAAGAGAATGAAAGAGAGGGAGAGAAAGAATGCGAGAGAGAGAGAGAGAGAGAGAGAAAGAGAGAGAGAGAGATGAAGAACGAATTAACAAACAAAAAACCGATTTATTAAGATGAAAAAAAAATAATTAACAAAACTCCATACCGGATGAAGAAAAATGAACTTGTATCTATCGTGTATACATTGTCATAACATTATTATGATGATTATTATAATTATTATTATTATATATAATAATGTAATTGAAAATTTGAAACGATATTACATAAGGTTAATAATAAACAAAAGCATCTTCACCTTTTGCTGTTACCTTTTCTTCCGCTTAGTGTTTTATCTGCCGCGCCTAATCTATAATCGTAATCGCGTGAAAGTTAAAGCGATTCCTTTATAATCAATATAATTCCTTTAATGCAAATTATGCAAAGTTTAAGCTCTGAAATATGGAGTTTCGCTATATTGAGCAAGCTTATGAAATTTATCGCTAATTCATGACACTCAAGTTGCACAAAATATCCTAAGATCGTCTTGGTCGTCTTAAGTCTGACGTCTTAAGAGACCCCTCAGGGCATTCCGGATATATTCCAGATAATTTTGGGACATTTTGGAACATGATTTGTATTGTTATCAGTATGATATTGAATTTATTGATTGCCGCTCATTTTTGAGCATTGCATCGCGAGAGAATCGAAAGAGGTCGTTGATGTAGCATAAAATATGTCCGCCTCGCGGAAGAAGAAAGCGTGTCAATTATTAGTGCTTCAATTTTTTAGCAATTATTAAGCCGGGCGAATGGCACTCTCGTTGAGTTAGCCGCACGAAATTAATCTGACTCTCGTAGAAGATGAGTTTCTCTGTGAAGAAGACTGGTGGCAGAATGTGGCACGAGGCACGCAAGCAAGAGAAGAAGATTCGCGGCATGCTGGTCGATTATCGTCGTCGAGCGGAACGTAGACGAGATTATTACGAGAAAATCGTAAGGACGCGAATGCTCCCGGCAGATTCTCCCGTGCTATTTGAACGATCAAGTCCGCTCCTGTGTAGTAACAAAATAATAAAATATATGCGTCTTCTTTCCCCTTTTGATTGACGTTCAACGTAGTGGAGTAACTGTACCGTGGCACTTTCGACGTTGAACACAATTCGCTGTTAAATATAAGCTACTCTCTATGTTCCATGCAGAAATCAGATCCTACGCAATTTCTCCAACTACATGGCAGACCCTGTAAAATACATCTGGATCCAGCAATAGCTGCTGCGGGTGACAGCCCTGCAAATATGTAAGAATATAACAGTAATTACGAAATTAAATATATTGATAACTGTTCTGATAGCTGTATCGACTATATGATACTGTGTCGTTACAATGTTAATTATATTGACTGATTTGACTTGTAATCTTATTTTAGGATGCCGTGGCAAGGCAACGAAGATAATCTCATAGACCGCTTTGATGTACGAGCACACCTCGATTGGATACCAGAAGCACCAGACACCATTGATGTTGACATTGCTTTAACAAGTGAAGATAGACATATCAACTATGAACGTTATCGTATTATTGTTCAGAATGAATTCTTAGGCGGTAAGTCTCTTGTCTCTGTTTTATCGTGAATAACTCTGATGATTTTCTGCACCGCTGATTCTTAACTAATGTTCCCTAACTTTCAGTGAATGAAGAGAAGTTTCTTCATCAAGTATATCTAGAGGAGCAGTTTGGTTCATCGACCAAGTTGGATGCTGCAAAAGATAAGAAAAAGTCTGCCAATAATGCTGCCATTGGATATAATTATGAGACAGAAGAACCGATACCTGAGCCAGTAAAACCAGTGGACCCTGTTATATCAGAGGAGAAGGGAGACGATGAAGATAGCGATATAGACTTAGGTATTGTCAGGCTGCTCAATGTATTATTTAATATTTTGTTAAACAGTATGAAGGAATACTTTCTTTCACGTAATTCATCACACTTGTGTGTTCTTAGATATATGCGTGGACGTATCTCAAATAGAACCATCTCAGGCGCACGAAATGAATTTGGTAGCTCAAAAATATGGGCTCCTAGGTGCTGATTACTTTAGCTTTTTGACGCAAGATTTTGAGGAGGCTGAAACTTTGCGGCAAGCGCGGAAGCAAGAGGAAGAAAAAGCCATGTATTCGGTAAACGATTCTGTCGATTCGAAAAGGACACGAATAAAGATATATTCTGCTTTCTCAGCATGCAAATTCTATTCAAAGAAGAATCATAACGTGTCTTCTGTTTTCGACAGGGTCGTCGGTCGCGTAGGGAACGGCGAGCGTTCAGGGAAAAGAAAATGATAGGTCGCGTAATGAGTCCACCTAGGTAATAACTCGTTACTGGAATTATTTTCTAGAGTAGACTCTTGCTTATTTGTCGTTATTCGTTCATTTGTGTAAATCCTCGCTTGTACAGTTACGCGGCAAGGGAGAGCCCGGAGTACAATCCTTACAGAAAGTCTTCTTCCAAGTCGCGATCGCGCTCCGCATCGCCTATTAATACCGGACAGATTACTTATATCACGAGTTTCGGCGGAGAGGAGGAGACTCACGGCAGTACCTCAAACGTCACGACGTATTCGAAGAAGGTCATTTATTCGTATCTCAGACGGCGGCGATCGGAGAGTCCTGCTTTCAACGAGAGGACAGTCAATAGAAAGCTGTCCAAGTCCAGATCGAGAAGTTGTTCGCGCTCCGTCAGCAGGACTAAATCGTATAGGACACGCGACAGAAAGCGAAGTGGATCTAGAGTGAGGTGAGTGATAAATGAAGACGACAGATAGCTCTTTGAAAGAATTGGAAGAATGAGAGCTAGCATTTATCGTAATTGTGCTGAGATGATCTTTTGAAGTATTTAATAATATGTTTACTACTATACCCACGATTTTTCATTCGTCATTTTAGATCAAGAAGGGCTCGTTCGAGACCTCGAAAGTTCACTAGATCAAGAACGAGGAGTCGGTCCAGACGATCGCGAACACGAAGCAAATCACGATCGCGTTGCAGGAGCACCAGCAGATCCCGATCATTCACCGTTTCCCGATCCAGATCGCGCTCGCGCGTGAAGAGATCCAGGAGCGCGTCCTCGAGTAGCGTGTCGAAGTCAAGATCTAGATCTAGATCGCGTAACAGAAGTCATTCGAGAGACAGCTATCGGAAAAGGCGTTACTCGCCGTCTAAGTCGAGATCCAAGTCACGGTCGAGATCGAAGTCTCCGACGAGATCTAGAAGTCGGTCAAGAAGTCAGTCGAGTTGTAAACGATCACGAAGCGATGACAATAAGACACCAGCACTGCCAAGGTAAAAGTCCTGCGAGTTTCTACGAGTGCGTCTAATTGTTTGAGTATGCCGCAACAAATACATCGCGATATATTCGCCTTTTGTTTCTAACAATCTGTCGTTTGCAGGTATTATGGCCGACGTGGAAAGTCGTCAAGTCTCGAATTAGATTTGTCTGACAACGAGGAGAAAGCCAGTCCAGCGACACCGAAGCCGCCGATAATTAACGCAAGCACGTAAGTACTCTGTGCAAACGATTCTATAATTTATAAGGTCGGGAAAATGATATAATGTGTACTTTTTCGGAAAATTTCAGGAACAAGCCAAAAGCAGGGTTAAGTACAAATTCTGGTGGCGGACACAAAGTCAGTAAGAACCATAACGCTTTCTTAGTCACTTAACGCACAGAGAATAAAGACAGAACATACTTGTCTCTATATAAGTACCCTTCTAAACGAGGAGCCTCGACGAGCGCTTCTCGTTTTCGTTGTGCTAACACGTCACCGACGTGTCTACGTCATATGCTATATTTATTTGATGTTTTTCATTTCTAACGTATTGTCAGGCACATTTTTTACGGGCACCGTTAGAGCAACGAGGAATTTGGAATTTTCACGGGTCTATCGGCAAAATTCCAAGCGATTTGATACATTTAAATTTAATTTTTTGCGTAGTTTGCTACTACTTCTCTGATTCGTGTGCACACACATTCAGTTGTCCGGAAATGACAAATTTCTCGTGGTGCATATTTTTTTATTTTTTATCTGGTAATGCATTATCAGTTGCGTATGTACACATTATGTACGTGTTGCGAGCTAGTCTTGCGTATTATACCAAAAGTACCGATTAGCTACAGAGCTTTAAGAGTGTATATCTTTCAGTCGGTGAAAATTACACCTCAGGAGCGGCTTAAGAAGAAAATGCAGACTCTGTTAAACAGACAATGTGAGTTGGCTGCTTAGAAAGAATACGTTGCACAGTTATGCGATGTAAAGCAAAACTAAAAGTTTGCATCATTGTACAGATAAAGCTGACAAGAAGGCCGAGCAACTGAGGATTGAGAAAATGGAGCAGCAGAGGCAAGACCGGGAAGACGAGATTCGAGAGATGTCTTTAAAACTCCGTAGAAAGTAAATAATTTTCGTTTTCTCTTGTTCTCGGAATGATTCGCTTTAAACTGCGATATTAATTCTGTCTCATTGTTTTCAGACAAAGAGAACGAAGGCATCGCTACGAAGGCCACAGTTCCGATACACGTTCTTCCGTGTCTCGCACGCCAAGCCCAAGTCGTAGTCCCCGACATCACGCGGTGCGTCGCGAGAGGAGAGATCGAGACGTAGACGGCGATCGTGAAAGGGAAAGAGAAAGGGACAGAGACAGAGACAGGGATTATCGTCGCGATGACCGCGATCGAGATCGTGATCGTAGTAGAAACGACTCACGTAGAAGACACAGAGATTCACCACTTCGCTCATTGAGTCCCAGGAGCAGTCGGTAGTATCTCTAATATCAACGATCGAGTTGCATCGGCAACTAGTAAACCTTTAAAAATGTGTCATCTCAAGTGCGGTGATGAATTGAGTACAATGGAGAATAGAATGAACGATTTACGTTGGATGCAACTGAATCTAACAAGGGAACACCGAATTCTTTGATTTTGATACACTTTTGTGAATATGTAGAGTAAATTAATAACATGAATAACGATATATTTCATTTGTGCCTTATCGCTATTTAAAAGTATGATTTACACTCTCAAAGTAAAAAGGATGATTCCACTTTTTTGTGTATTACTCTTAAATTAAAGGAGATAGAAAAAAATTTTTCGAATAAATGTTTAATAGTAAGTTAAGTGCTGTAAATATTAACATAAGCATAAATAAGAAAATACCTATAAAAAATTTTTTTACAATGAAAAAAAGTATTTTTTTATTTATGCTCATGTCAATATATTTGCAGCACTTAACTTATCATTAAACATTTATTCGAAAAAATTTTTTCTACCTCCTTTAATTTAAGAGTAATAAAAACGAAAAAGTGGAATCGTCCTTTTTATTTTGAGAGTGTAAATCATATCTTTAAATAGCGATAGGGCACAAGTGGAATGTACTGTTATTCATGTATTGATTTACTCTATATACTCACAAAAGTGTATCAAAACCAAAGAGTTCGGGTTCGCGGTGTTCTCTTGTAAGTATAATACAATTCTCCTTTGCATTCTGCTAACTTAATTTTTCCCCATTCCAGAGGCCTAGTCGACTATTGACTTCAGGATACACGTCTCATCTTCCACCCGAGTGTTAAAATGCAGATAATTTAAAATATGTTTCAAATACTTCCTACTCAATCGCATTCCTTCCTCAAATCGTTGCTACTAGCGTTTCAAAAGGCGTGTATTATGGAAAGATTGTGTGAAACGTATTACGTAGTATCGTTGTCCTGAGAAACATCGTGAAATAGCACGAGTTATAAATCTGCTAATATATCAAATACATGGAAGTATTTGTATATCCATATTTCTACTCGTCATTGTTACACACGCGATATACGAAAGTTAGCGTGATAGACTATTGCGAGGATTGTATTTGTAAGTTTCATTTCGGAAAAAGAGCAAGGATTTCCTTTGAAAGATATGTTACTATTGTACTTTAGAATTGAGCGCACTTGGCTATTTATTAGATATCAATTATTGTTAGATGATTGTTCAAATAATAAAGGCGTCTATTGCGCAACAAATAAATGTAGCTAATATTTCGTATCAACCACACTTGTATTGTTTATCTTTACAAGTATGATACAAAGGTTATCACTCTTCTCATTTCAACATCTGTGATATGTTTGTTGTTTTCCATAATACGAGACGAAAAAGAAAATTTTTTGTCGTAGTTATATTCACAAAATTTTCGTATAAATTATGTCCGATCTGTAATTTTCTTTTATTATTATTCAATTATTATCACTGTGTTATTATCTTATCAATGTTATTATTATTAAAGTCTCTGTCACGAAATTTAGATTATCTAGATTGTCGTTATCTTTGTATTCTGATGGAAGGTTGATAAATATGATGATGGAGAGGGGCTCTATTGGATATCATTAGTCCCTCAAGTACAGAAGTACGAAGATATTGCGACTAAGATGGCACAAATAACATTTGCACTTTTAACTGGTATGTATTATATAAACTCTCTTTGCATGAAATATATCTTATATTTAAAAATGAGCAATAATAAATTTCAGTTTAAGATATTATTTAAATATCTATTTAGAGGTTAGATATGGTTAGATATAGTTACATTTCTTATATGTTCAATACGTTTATCAATAATTTTTTACAAATAATAATTTTTCTAATAATTCTGTTACAATTTAGTGAGCGATTCTGTTGCAAATGGTAAGGCAGTAGACAGAAGCGGTCCTGCATTAGAAAAACTTGTCACCGACACAAACACAGAAACAGGAAATTTACTTAAAGGAAAAGTCGTTTGTAAAACAATTGTGTCAGATGATAAACATTTGATAGTGGTAATTACGGGTGTTTTTATTATTTCTCTCTTTTTGTTATCCTAATTTTATATTTTTAAAATATTTTATATTTATTTTATTATATTAATTTAATTAATTATTTTAGAGATATCTAATTTCTCGAAGTGATCTTTCAAAACATGAAGTAGCTAATGTTATTCTCACCACGGGTGGTACTGGGTTTTCTAAAAGGGACGTAACACCTGAGGCAACCAAGAAAGTTATTGATAAAGAAGTTCCTGGAATAATCACAGCAATGGTGACAGCAGGCTTGAAAACAACACCAATGGCTATGCTTACTCGGTATAGATTTATTTCTATTTGTTCTTTATAGTTTTTTTTTTAATTATGACCTTTACAATCAATGATCATGATCTTTGATCCTCAGAGCTGTATGTGGAATACGAAATAAGACATTGATTATTAATTTACCTGGTTCATACAACGCTGTGAGAGAATGCCTGACTGTCATTGCTCCTGTAATTCCACATGCAGTAGATTTGATCCTAGATAGGAAAGATGCGATTGTGGTTACTCATAATACTGTTAGATTAGCAACTAGTAATAACACTAAAGCAGTTCAGCCTGTTCACTGTAGCATTATGGTAAAGTAATTTTTGTATTATACTGTTCAAAGTAATTGGATGGGGGTCACTTGTTAAAAAAAACTTCATTTAATGTGATAATTGTTTTGAATAATATAAAAATAATACGAAGATTTTATGGAATGTGCGTACAAGTAAAAAAAATTTTGCAGGTTGCTCATAAAAATATAGCACAACGCAGCAGACAGTCTCCATTTCCTATGGTTTCAGTAGACAACGCACTGGAATTAATACGTAAGAATGTGGAGAAAACAGGGACCGAAGTGGTGAATATAAAAGATGCATACGGCAGAATATTGGCCGAAGATATATTTTCCTTTTGTGACTTGCCACCATTTAGAGCTTCCATTAAAGATGGATACGCAGTATTGGCAAGTGATGGGAAAGGTATAAGAAAGGTCTTAGGTGGTGTGACAGCAGGAACTAAAGTAAGTAACAGTCTCTCAAGACTACAAATTCGAGCTATAATGAAAATAATTTTTTAGCCTTTTTCAACTCCACTTCAAACTGGCACATGTGTGCGTGTAAACACTGGAGCACCTGTACCTGATGGTATATAACTCTTTACATTACAATTTTTGTTATTTTAATGTCAAACTGCATAGGTTACACCTGAATTTTTAGCTTTGCTCTTTTATATTGAAAATTACAACTGTACTATGATTATATTAATATACTCGTGATAAAGAATTCCCTTCTAAATTGCAGGTGCAACAGCAGTTGTACAAGTTGAGGATACAAAGCTAATATTAGAGAACTCTGATAAAACTGAAGAACTGGAAATTGAGATAATGACTGAACCAGTGGAAGGACAAGATATTAGGTACAAAGCTGCAGCAAATATTTTTTGGAAAACAACTTGTGTCTCATCATCTAACTCTATTTCTTTGTTTGTGTATTTTTGAAGACCTATTGGTTGCGATCTAGAAAAAGAAGCCTTAGTTGTAGAAGCGCAGAAGTATATTGGTTCAACAGAAATAGGACTTCTAGCAGCTTGCGGTGCTAAAGAAGTTACAGTCAACAAAATACCATCTATAGGTATATTGTCTACTGGAAACGAGTTACAGGAACCCGGAGAATCATTGAAACCAGGATGTGTTTACGATAGCAATAGAATAACCTTGATCGCACTATTAAAGGAGAATGGCTTCAAAGCTTTGGATTTTGGAATCATAGTTGATGAGTAAGTCACTGAAATTTCGCATAATTGCTAATGCACACGTTACATTTTCTAGGTTTATACAGAAAAAAGAAAGATATTGATATTCTTATTACTTTTTAGTGAGACCATTTTGATATCTAAAATAGAAGCAGCTTTACGAAAGGTAGATGTGCTCGTGACAACAGGTTCTGTGTCGATGGGCGATAGAGATATATTGAAGTCTATTCTGCAGGAACATTTTAAAGCCACGATACATTTCGGTATAGTCACGTTTTTGTTACGCATTGATACTAATGTAATGCAGCATAATATGCATTACTTAGAACGCCATATGCATTACAGGTCGTGTGAACATGAAACCGGGAAAGCCAACGACGTTCGCGACATGCATGTTCCATGATAGAAAAAAATATTTCTTATGTCTCCCGGGGAATCCTGTGTCCGCTGTCGTTACCGCACATTTGTTTCTTCGGTCTCTTTTGAATGAGATGTGCGATGATTTATCAGAACCTATCATAGTGCAAGCTAAGGTTTGTAAGGTCCTGCATTTAAGCTTGATCTACAATGTTCTTGGCTTCCTGCTTCTTTCTCTTTATCTCTTTCTGACTTAAATCTTAAGCTTTAAGTCAGAAAAAACAGAAGACAAGAAACAGAATGCAAAGAACATATTGTAGATCAAGCTTTACACAGGAGTGCTGCAAGATGCACGGTGCATATAGTTATAATATCATTATATTGCAGTTGACATCGTCGTACAATTTGGATCCGCGTCCCGAATATGCGAGAGTGATCTTGGAATGGAATAGCGAAAATGAAGTTCCATTAGCATATAGCACGGGAAATCAAATGAGTAGTAAACTACTTAGCTGCAAAAGCGCCAATGCGCTCTTAATGTTGCCAGGGCGAACGGAGAACATAAAAGTGTTAAATGAAGGTGATATCGGATTAGCGATGTGCATTGGATTTAAATAATTTCTAATATTCGCGGCACGGATGATTATCATTAAGGTTTTTTGATTGTTTACATATTCTTATATATAAACATTTTGAGATGTATTTTTGAGATGATACATGTATTGAGATGACACACACACACACACACACACACACACACACGTATATATTTACACACATACGTATTATGTTAAAAAGTATAAAATGGATGCAATATATGTAAAGTTTAGAATACCTTGTAATGTACATAATCGTATGTTAGAAAGCATAAAATAGATGCAACATATATATATAAAGTTTGGGATGTTTTGTGTTGTATACAATCTTGAAGAAGTGATGATTTCCAAAAATTTTGTGAATTTATCTTAAAAATGATTGCGATATGTTTCACTTGAGTAAAAGTATATTAATTTACTTGAGTAGAAGTATATTAATTAAACATAATATGTATGTTAGAAAGCATAATATAAATGCAACATATATATAAAATTTGGGATACTTGGTGTTGTACATAATCTTGAAGAAGTAATGATTTTCAAGAATTTTGTGAATTTATCGTAAAAATAATTGCGATGTATTTCACTTGAGTAAAGGTATATTAATTAAATATAGTTAATGCATACTATATAATGGTTGTCTGATATTCATTACTTTCCATACTTTTCCTATTAAGTAACATATTTATTTGTAGAAGATCTAAATTGTGTGGCATATTAAATTTATATTTTCTGGCTTCACACGTAATGAAATTTTTATATTCTATAGAAATCTGTCGCTTCTCATATATAATATAAATTGGCGATGTAATATAGTGTTTTCTGCTGTTGTATAACTAATTTGCATTTTACCAGTGCTTACCGAACTTTTCTCCGATCACAGAAGATACAAGACGTTACAATTTGAAGCTCTAACGATAAATCTTGATGATTCGCACATTCTCGGCGCGATTATTCAGATATACTTTATCAAATGGACGATATTTATTTTCGGCACTCCCGACGAAGATCCACGCTCAAGATTTCGACAAGACGAAAACATATAACGTAGTTATTTGAACTTTAGGCCGCTGCGATCTTTAATACTTTATTCAACACTCCCGATCGCGAGATACCCGTTTCCGATAATTCTATAACGATATTTGATTGTCGTGCACACGCCAAAGTGATTCTCGACGAGTTCCGACGACATTCAATTTCGAATGGAAGAGATTCGCGAGAAAACGACTGCTGCGCCACGACTCGTAATCGACGGCAACCATTACGATCTCGAAATAACGCGCGTATGTACTACTTCATTCGATCATCGCAAGATATTCGGTCTCGACAACGACTTGGCGATATTTCATTATAATAAATGCACGGTACTTACTTTCGGCTGGCGATTATTCGCGCATCAGGAGAACCAATCGGCAGATTAGAGACGCAAAGTGCAGCCGTTTGAACAGCAGCTTGCCATAACCCGGCGGACTGTACTTGATATTTCCGATCGCTTGCGACTTGCGACGACAGTATCGACGATGTCCCCGTCGTCACAGACGCACGGAACTGACTTCATAACGTGGATCCAACTTGCGTCGTAGGAAATTCGAATTTTCAGGAATGGGCTTACGTCGCGCGATCCGCTCATCAGTGGTGAGACAAGAACAGAGTGATTGAATGAACGTCTGTCCTTTTCTAACTTATTACCATTGTACAGAAATATAACGGACACGAACCAGGCGCATTTTATCGTTCCTTCCTTCCTTCCTTCCTTCAATATTTGGCTACAGGCCTCTCTAAGAGTAATGTCCCAACGCCAGTTTCCGATTAATGATATAATTCGAGAGCAAAGTCTTGGAAATTTTCAAGACACGATCCAAAAAAATCACAAGGTCCGAACATGTTCGAACACGTCTTATCGTGACGGCGGTTAGGCCGGGACTGCATTTTATCGTTACCATCGCAAAAATGCGCCTAAAGCCTGTATCAGACTACCGACTCCAGTCGGTCAATGCTAAAATGTAAAAATGATTTATATACGCTAAGATTACAATGCATATATTTTTGATATGGGCTTACGATTAGCTATGACTCGAGTTGCCGATTCGAAAAATAGACTGAAGTCTAAATGCGAGTCGGCCGATTCAGTCAGTCGATGCCTCACTGTGATTGGTCCATTGAGAGTCGGCAGTCGTAGTCGGCAGTCGGTAATCTGATGTGGGCTTAAGGCCAAATCACACTAACGATTGGCGATTGAAGATTGGATTTGACCAATTGGAACAAACCAAGCCAAAGTTGAAGCTCGTTGATTCGTCAAAATCTAATCTTCAACCGTCAATTGCTAGTATGATTTGGCCTTTAGGCCTGGAACACAATACGCCGTATGTCGGAGTTGTGTGTCGGAACGCAGCCGATGGTCCAATAAGAGAACTTATTTTCGAGAATGAGTTCTCCTCATTGGACCATCGGCTGTGTTCCGACATGCGACAGCGACATATGGCATATTGTGTTCCAGGCCGATATTCTTGAAATTTTTGTGTATACGTAATTTTCGTTGCGCAATTATGGTACGATTAAACAGTAAAAGTTACGTATACGCAACTATGGTACGATTAAACAGTAAAAGTTACGTATACGCAACTATTTCAAAGGTGCCCAGGTCTTAACAAACGTAGTAAAGGCGCACTTTATTAAATGGTGTCTCGAAAGTGCGTTCAGCTCTATCACTATCTAACCACTATCTAGCCACTATCTAGTCACTAAAATCAAGCTGGTGGCCGCTCTCAGACTTCTCTTTATTTGAACAATGAACGTAGGAATATCTGGACGAAGCGTAAAGTATTTTTATAGACGCTGGGAAATCTTCATCGCGGCCATCTTTGGTGATTAAAAGTGATATATGACATATGTGTATACATAGATCGAGGATTTTAACCTTTGTGGTGAAATGTCCTTATGGATAGGACTATATATTTCGTAGTAGAAGATGCCGGATTGTTGCGGAACATTGTAAAAGCCGGAGAACCGAGAAGCCAGAAAAATAAAATAGGAACTAAAATAGTAACGTAAAAATGGTAAGACTATCATTTTACAAGTATGTTTTAATATAACAAACAGTTGCAATCAGGGTAAAACTTTATATTCACATACATTCATATATACGTATTCATTTTGTGTTCCAATACACTATACCAAGACATTGTGCTCGTTGAATAGGCTGCCGCCATATTTGGTGATCACTTTCGACTTTCATTTCTCTCACCCCTGTGGCTTCACTCTTCGCGAAATACGCTCCGTCCAGATATTCCTACGTCCATGGTTTGAACGGATTGAATTGCGGCTGTTGAGTTTCTCAAAGTGTCAGCAGCGCTCTCGATCCACCGTGGCGGACCAATCGCGACGACGCGTTCATTCCTCGTCGATTCCTCGTCCTATTCGACCTATCGAACTACGAGAAAGCTGAAGAAGCCCGACAGATGTCGCACAGTGGCGGTTCTATACATCACTCGGTTCGAAATTCCTCTTCTCGTACGGAAGCGCGCGCGAACGGACGTCGTGAGCGCCGAGTGGAGCGACGGACGACTGCTGCGACGCGTTATTAGGTCCAGGTAAGTACGATTCGACACGAAACCTTTCGTTTATTGTATCAGGATAACTGTCGGAGCATCCACCGCGACGGAACGTCCGATGTCAAGCGATTCTGCGACGATTTGAACGCTAGCTATGGTCTCGTTCTGCCGTTCACCCGCCGAAAGTACACTCCGCGCGCGCGCATCGAGCGAACGAGCATCGGAAATGCCGAATTATGCGATCGTTCGGTCGCGTTAATTGTCCCGCACGAGTGAAATTTAACGCGATATCTTTCAAGCACGCGTAGCTAGTGGCGTTTGTCGTCAGCGTCATTTCTACGTTATGTTAGTACCGACATACATAGATGGAACGCGTTCGGTCCTGTTTCGACGAGACGAACGCCGCGGGATTCAGCGCTCATATCACACGCTCATTTGCTTCGGTGAATTTCTGACTATTTTCATCGCATTAATGCGCAATACCGGTTGCGAAATATCGGTTGTGTCGACGAAACTTTCTATGAAAGACTGTTGGCACTGCATGAAGTTTCGTGACTATTATGATCGTTAACACGAATGCTGCCAACTACTCAGGTGGGATAAAAGATCACGACGACATCAATATGCCAAAATAACGAAAAAATGACTCGAGAATTCATTTTTTGCGCATTTCACACATTTTTCGTCATTCTAACGTCATCGTGATTGTTCTGCTTGAGTATGGGTGAGGTGTACACAGAGAAAATTTTATAGCAAATATTGCTATAGTGCTTTATAACAGAAGAATAGATTGACATTCTGCAGTAACTTATTATCTCCTTTCATTTTTACACTATGCTGCTTATACTTATAACTAAAATATGCTGTATTAAAAAAATTTGTTGTTTCTAGTTAAATTTACTATGTTTCTTAGCAAAATAAATCTTATTACCTAATAAACTAACCGTCTATTCTTGCACCACCAGAAATACAGTAAAATTAAAAAGAATATATATAAAAAACTATAATATTCTCTCTATGTACAGATTATTGTCCTATATCTAATGCTACAAACAGTAGCACTTCTACGTCTTTCACATTGAGGCTTAAAGAAGGACTTATTTCAGAATTACCCACACAGCACGTAATATTATATAATATCACAGCAATATTTCAATAATATTTCTACGATATTACAATATTACGGAAATATTACTGTGATATTATATAATATTACGTGCTGTGTGGGTATTTAATGTTGTGGTTTCTCATTATTAGTATCTCATGTTTGGTATCTCATTATTCTCTATCTGCATGTGATGTCTTTATTTTTATTTCAATAAGCAATTAGTTATATAACTCACTCGACTGCAGACTGAGTGCGATAAGCATTCTTAAATAATACTCGATAAGCATAATTAAATAATGTGAGTAAATAATAGGATTAATGGATAAATGCCAAACACACTCTTTTTTCATACGATTTATTTATTATTTATTATATCTATTATATATATATGTATAATATCTATTATATATTATTTATATGATATGTATCGGATACACAATAACAATATATAGTTCTTTGAACAAAAGTGAAAATCAGCATTGTGAAAAATTTTAGGCAGGGGACTTGCGAAATATTTTGAAAGTTTGTTGCGATCTTTCGATCACCGAGATTATGTGTATGTGTATATGTGTGTATGCGTCATTGTTGAGATGTGAATGACGATAATAGGCAGGTGGTGGGGGTAATCTTGCCGTTTGTTTTGATACTCTCGCGCGTCGCGTACTTGTCCGTATCATTACGTATTGAGCCGAGGAACGACGTACATACCGCGAGGCACGTGTGTCGGTCCATCCGTTATCACTCTTGTCGGTTTTTAAGATATTTAATTAGACTCTCCTCGATGTCACGATTATTATAACACACGTTTCTACGATCAAATCGTATCTACGCGAGTGTCAGTGTCAGTGCTACGATGGAGTATCCGGAGCAGGTGGGAGCAGGATGTTGGATCGACAAGTCAGAAAGGAGGACGTAGAATACCAGGATGTGGACAGGAATACATTTCCAAGTATGTCATATATTTCCAAATATGTCGTTGTACAAGATATCTTCGATTTTGACGGACGTTTAACGAGCTTATCGAGAATGAGAAGATATTCCGAGCCGAAATTTAGACTGACATTCACAGTGTCTATCTTTTGTCCATAATATAACTATAGTTTTTTGAACTTTTAATTATTCGCCAACATTCCATACTTGTATGGAATACTCCATGAATACGTTGTTCTAACACGGAAATGGTAGTAACATACAAGGTTGTTGTCACTAATAAGTAAATCTACCCAAAAGTTACACTCCGATTTCTTTCTAATTTGGCAAATGTAGAAATACAAAAAATATTTAGATCATATTTTTTCATATTGATCCACTTTGAGTTTCATGGGCAGTTTATAGCTTTTTAATGTTCTCATTTCTATCATCAACAAATGCAACAAAAATGCATAAGAAATAAAATTGAATACAAGATATAGGCATTTTTTATTTGCTGATTATAAATATGAAGTTAAATATGTAAAATTATTTGTATAAATAATAAAATGTTTAAACAAAACATGTACAAAGTTGAAAAAATTATTTATACAAATAATTTCTCGGTTTCGCTGAAATTAGAACCATTTTTTACTAGTTTAGCACAGATTTGAATTATTTCGGTTGGAATCTCGGCTAAAGAAATTTAGAATGGTTCGTGTCTCAGTTATGCCGATTTTGTTAAAATTTTAATTAAAGTTGCCAGATTTTGGTTTGGCCCAGATTCAAAACATTTTTTACTAATTTAGCACAGATTTTAAATATTTCGGTTGGAATCTTTGCTAAAAAAATTTAAAATGGTTCGTATCTCAGCTATGCCGATTTTGTTAAAATTATTTAACTATATTTTGTATTCAATTTTATTTCTTATGTATTTTTGTTGTATTTGTTGATGATAGGAGTGAGAACATTAAGGCTCCTGGCTTCTCGCATTGTCTATCTCTTTTTAATGATGTCAGAAGCGAAAAAATACATATTAAAAATTCTTGCGAAATACGTTGAAATAAAAAGATATATCTATAAAGTGACACTTGCAATCGATTAAATAAATCTGTAGAATATTCCGTGCACTCTTCTTTGGCTTTAATAATCAATAATTTATCGTAAATTAACGTGACATACACTTCATCTTAACCTATTTCTTCGCAATCAGATTAATTTATAATAAATTATTATAATTTGATTGTTAGAGCAAAAGGGGAGTGAATATCTTATAAATTTGTTTAATTGCTTGTAAGTGTTACTTTATGGATATATATTTTTATTTCAACATATTTCGTAAGAATTTCTAGCATACATTTTCTTACTTCTGACGTCATTAAAAAGAGATACACAATACGAGGGGTTCCAGGAGCCTTAAAAAGCTATGTCACAGGCTAATTGCCTGTGAAACTCAAAGTGAGCCAAAATAAAAAAATATGAATTTCTTTTTGTACTTCTACGTTTATGCTAAATTAAAAAGAAATCGGAGCATACCTTTTGGGTAGGTTTACTTGTAAGATTATAATAGAATTTGATAAGAAAATTATTTTTTCGACTATAATGCATAATTATTTTTTTATGTGGTTATAGTTACCAAACATTTTTCTCTCAGTGCATGAATTAGAGTCACACGATTTGCCGCACATAAACACATCGTGCATACGTTTCACAGGCTAATTGCCTGTGAAACTCAAAGTGAGCCAAAATAAAAAAATATGAATTTCTTTTTGTACTTCTACGTTTATGCTAAATTAAAAAGAAATCGGAGCATACCTTTTGGGTAGGTTTACTTGTAAGATTATAATAGAATTTGATAAGAAAATTATTTTTTCGACTATAATGCATAATTATTTTTTTATGTGGTTATAGTTACCAAACATTTTTCTCTCAGTGCATGAATTAGAGTCACACGATTTGCCGCACATAAACACATCGTGCATACACATATAAACACGCGACTGTATGCAAACACACGCCGTTGACGGTCCATACTTTTTGTAGACAAGTCGTTAACTTTTTCTGCCGTCTTTCTAACTTCAACACGTTCGAACATAAACGCAAGTGGACGCGAAGTGGCAACTGCTAATGCAAATTGGTATTATGCAAATGCATCGAACGAGCGATAGCCGAGCGCACGTAGTAGATAGCAAAATCGCTTATTCGGCAAACTTGTAGTGAGGTGAATTCCATTAGGGACGCTTTAACAAAATATGAACAGTCGGCGTATATGTGTGTATGTGTGTGAGCAACTATAATAATGCGCGAGCAATAATAATACGCGAGAATATTCGCCCACGCGACTCTGCTGAGTCGGGGTGAACGTGTGTCTTAGTTACGTCGTAGGGGAAAGTCGGCTGGCACGTCAGTTCGTCCCAACGACTACCCTGAGGAAACATTGTGAAGACCGTAAACGCGCGTCTACAGAGCTTACGCTCGAGAACGTTGTCTTACAGTGAATATTACTCCCGTTGAGTTACCGTCACGATCGTAAAAGACTATCGCGCACCCATCCTTGACGTCGACATAGTCGAGAGTGGTTTCGCTCTCTCGAAATTATTAGTACTGAAGTTCCACCGAATTCTGAATTCCATGTCGGTCGTAATTATAGAGCCAAAATAATTATTCTGCATTATTTCTGAATTAGTTTGGAAATTTTTCTATGCTTCTCCCTCACATCTCTCAGGTCGAATTTCTAGACGTTTTCAACGTAACGCAACGCGAAGATAAAAATGACATGATGATCATCAGCGACATTGATCGCGTAGCGGCGAGTGATGGTCGGAAATTAAACGACAAACTGTACACGCGAGATGTGGTAGACGTCAAGAAACAGTAATTGGAAATATTTCAATGAATAATGTTCGGAATCATATGGGGGTTGCCATAGTGATGGTGTACAAGCGTCTGTAAACGCGCGATTTACGTTATTCGCTACATTATTTCCTCACCCGTGACAGAATTGTTTATCTGCTCGTCGTGGTAACAACTGACGGCAGCGATGCGAATGATTACGATTTAGTATCGATAACGAATAAATATTTGATATAATATAAGTGAAAAATAATGAGGTAAGGTCCGGTTACACCAACGATATTTTGGCTTTAAGCGAAATTTAAATATGTATCTATCTTTATCTTTCTTTCTAACACATATTTAAGTCACGCTTAAAGTTAAGATAACATTGGTGCAATTGGGCCTAAGTACTTTATATATACGTACACACACACACACGCGCGCGCGCGCAAAATCAGTTAATGAGTTACAAAAAATTTAAAATTGAACAGCGCATCGATGCAGCTCTCCATTAATCGTCTCTACTTTTTCATTTTAAGTAAAAAAGCGATATATCAACAAGTACGTCATTATTTAATGATACTTGTCTTTTATTTCGTCTCGATACTGCATTAATTAAGTTTATGCGGCTTTATGCTTCCCACGATAACTGAGGAACTATTTAATTTAATCAGTATCTCTGTGAGGTTCTCGAGCTTTTCTTAGTGTTTCATGATTAAAGTCAGCGTAACATTTTCCCGTGAGTGTATCCCGCTCGTATAGCCTAATTGTGCTTAATATGTCTGCAGTTCCTCTTAAAGGGATTACTCGATTTCAATGGCGATGTCGATTACGGCGACGCAATAAAACGGCACTTCACTTTAAGGGTTTCATTGCCACTAGAGTCTCTTAATAATTGCTAGATTCCAATTAAATTCTCCGGGTACCGTCTGTCTCATTAGCATGGTGGGGCGCGCTTTCTCTCTCTCTCTCTCTCTCTCTCTCTCTCTCTCTCCCCTCTCCACGGCAGTGAAAATTATTCAAATCCAGAAGTCTCCAAAGAGCATAGGTAATCTTGCGAGCTGGGAACTTGGGCGGCGGTAACACGTGCACTTTACGGATAATTGCATACGGAGCTGTTCCCAGGGAAACTCTCGTATATCCTCCACCGTGTACCATCTATCAAGGCTACTGTGAACACACATCCAGAACCGATAACAGCGAACACGGCAAGATTCGATATAATATAATTCATTATTTTCCCTTCTCTCGTTTTCGCCCTTGTATCGTTTTTATAAAATTGCAGAGAGTGATTCGCCCTTGATCGGAATTCGGGGCAGCCTGATGATAAAAAAGAGGCTGGTTTACTTGTTCCTCGCCGTTGACATCGTGGTTTAATATAGTCGCGCGACAGTTCGTGAGATTTACGCGTCGCGACGTGTGAAATTGCAGTTGACTAACGCGTGGCAAGGGAAGGCATCGAGGAACAGGCCGGGAAGAACTGAAGATCCGCACGCGTCGCCTAATAACGCCGTGTAACAGGCGTGAATCATAACGCGGGCTATTAACCGTGCAAAGCACGCTTCTCTAATAAGTCGATATCGGAGAGGCACACACCGCGGTCACGTCATCGCGGTTTGTCTGTTGTTAACGACACGTCAGGCAGGAGACGAGCTCATCGAAGATTATGCTAAATACATACGTTACACAGGTTGAGCCCGAAATCGCCGAAATCGTAATTTATCGGATAAAGCGAATATATTCTTAAGAGACCTCACATTGTACAGTCGGGGATTAAAAGGTTGTCCGTAATTTTTCGAGTGAACTCGTTTTTCTTGTTCAGCGAGAGCATTCTTCTATTGAACAAGATGGAGAGTTTACAAACTCATCTCAAAAATTACGGACAACCTTTTAGTCCCCAACTATACACACGGAGAGAGTGTTATAGTTCTCTTTTTTATTCTCTTTAATTTTCATTTTTGAAAGTCCAAGAATAGACTGTCAGTGAGATCTTCCTAAAAAACACGATAAATTTTGTTAGAAACGTAGCAAATGCTTTAATATAATATATTTCCGTTTGTGGGATATAAGTAGCACACAATAAATGAAAGGAATGAATCACTGCACAGAACGTCGATATCTATATTCCTCGCTTACAAGATCCTGCAGTAACTTTTACTAGAAAATTCCTCCCGTTTAGAGGCGCGCGAACGTCTCTCGAGCGTG